TACTCAGAAGGCTGACATGGGAGAATCACTTGAACAGGAAAGGCAGAGCTTGCAGTAAGCTGAGATCATGCCATTGTACTCCAGCCTGGGTGACAGAACAAGATTCTATCTCAAAAAAATGGAAGTATCAAAATTGACAAACTATTAATCAGACTAAGAAAAAAAGGGAAAAACCCATATAAATAAAATCAGAGATGAAAAAAAGACATTACAACTGATACTGCAGAAATTCAAAGTATCATTAGTGATTACTAAGAGCAATGATATGCCAATAAATTGGAACATCTACAAGAAATGGATAAATTCCTAGAGATATACAACTTATCAAGATTGAATCATGAAGAAATCCAAAACCTGAACAGAAAAAATAACGAGATTGAAGTCATAATAAAAAATCTTCCAGTAAAGAAAAGCCCACAATCTGATGGTTTCACTGCTGAACTTTGACAAACATTTAAAGAAAAACTAATACCAATGCCACTCAAACTGTTCTGAAAAACAAAGGAGAGAATGCTTCCAAACTAATTCTATGAGGTCACTCTTACCCTGATACCAAAACCAGATAAAAATGTATCAAAAAAAGAAAACTACAAGCCAAAATTTCTGATGAATAGTGACGCAAAAATCCTCAACAAAATAGTAGCAAACCAAATTCATCAAAACATTAGAAAAATCTTATATCATGACCAAGTGGGATTAATCCCAGGGATGTAAGGATGACTGCACATGTGGAAATCAATCAATGTAATTCATCATATCAACAGAATGAAGGACAAAAACCACATGATCATTTCAATTGGTACTGAAAAGCATGTGATAAAATTCAACATCCCTTCATGATAAAAGCCCTCAAAAAAAAAAAAAACTGGGTATAAAAGAAACATACTTCAACATAATAAAATCATATATGAAAGACACACAGCTATTGCCATACTGAATGAGAAAAAACTGAAATTCTTTCTTTAAAAACTGGAATATAATAAGAATGCTCACTTTTGACCACTATTATTCAACATATTACTGGAAGTTCTAACTAAAACAATCAGGCAAAAGAAGAAAATAAATGACATCTAAGTTGTAAAGGAAGAAGTTAAATTATCCTTGTTTGCAGATATAATCTTATATTTGGAAAAATCTAAAGATTCCACACACACACAAAAAATCATTAGAGCTGATAAACAAATTCAGCATAGTTGCAGGATACAAAATCAATATATAAAAATCAGTAGAATCTCTATATGCCAACAACGAACAATGTAAAAAGGAAATAAAAATGTAATTCCATTTACAATACCTAGGAATTAAGTTAAGCTAAGAAATCAAGGATCTCCACAATGAAAACCATGAAAGGCTGATGAAAGAAGTTGAAGAGGACACCAAAAAATGGAAAGATATTCCATATTGGATCAGTAAAGTATTGTTAAAATATCCATACTACCCAAAGCAATCTACAGATATAATGCAACTTCTATGAAAATACCACTAACACTCTTCACAATAGAAACAGAAATAGAAAAAACAATCCTAAAATTTATGTGGAACCACAAAAGACCCAGGATGGCTATAGTGATCCCAAGCAAAAAGAACACGAAAGAATCACATTACCTGACCTCAAATTATACTACAGAGAGATAGTAACCCCAAACAGCATGGTATTGGTATAAAAACAGACACATAGACAACCCAGAAACTAACCCACACACCTAAGGTTAACTCGTTTTTAACAAAGGTGCCAAGAAAATACATTTGAAATAAGACCCTTTTTAATAAATGCTGGGAAAACTAGATACCCATATGGGGAAGAATGGAATTATACCTGTATCTCTCACCGTACACAAAAGTCAAATTAAAATCATTTAAAGACATAAATCCAAGACCTCGAAGTATGAAACTACTACAAGAAAGCATTGGGAAACTCTCCAGGACATTGGTCTGGGCAAAAATTTTTTGAGTAATATCCCACAAGCACAGGCAACCAAATCAAAAATGAATCAGTGAGATCACATGAAATTAAAGAGCTTCTGCACAATCCATAAAACCATCAACAAAGTGAAGAGACAACCTGCAGAATGGGAAAAAATATGTACAAACTACTCCTCTGACAAGGGATCAATAACCAAAATATATAAGGAGCTTTAACATCTCAATAAGAAAAAAAATCTAGTAATTTGATTTAAAAATGGGCATAAGATTTGAATAGACATTTCTCAAAAGAAGACATACAAATGGCAAAGTGGCATATTAAAAGGTTCTTGACATCATTGATCATCAGAGAAGTACAAATCAAAACTACAATGAGAGATCATCTCACCCCAGTTAAAATGGCTTTTATCCAAAAGACAAGCAATAAAAAATGCTGGCAAGGTATGGAGAAAAGGGAACCCTCATATGCTGTTGGTGAGAATGTAAATTAGTACAACCACTATGAAGAACAGTTTGGAGGTTCCTCAAAAAACTAAAAATAGAGCTACCATATGATCCAGCAATCCCACTGTTGAGTATACACCCCAAAAAAGAAAATCAATATATTGAAGAGAAATCTACATGCCAATGTTTGTTTTAGTATTGTTCACAGTAGCCAAAATTTAGAAGCATCCTAAGTGTCCATCAACATACGAATGGAAAAAGAAAATGTGATGCTTATACACGATGGAGTACTACTCAGCCATAAAAAAGAATGAGATTCTGTCATTTGCAACAACATGGATGCAACTGGATATCACTATGTTAAGTGAAATAAGCTAGGCAAAGAAAAACAAACACATGTTCTCATTTATTTGTGGGATCTAAAAACAAAACAATTGAACTCATGGACATAAAGAGTAGAATGATGGTTACCAGAGGTAGGGAAGAGTAGTGGGGGATGGATGGGGGAGTTGGGGATGGCTAAAGGTTAAAAAAAATAGTTAGAACGAATAAGACCTAGTATTTGATAACACAACAGCGTGACTATAGTCAATAATAATTGCATATTTTAAAATAACAACAAGAGTATAATTGGATTGTTTGTAATACAAAGGATAAATGCATGAGGGAATAGAGATCCAATTTTCCATGATGTGATTACTATGTATTGCATGCCTATATCAAAATATCTTATGTACCCCATAAATACATACAACTACTAGGTATCCACAAAAAAATAAATATTTCAAATTTTAAAAATATGTATAAAATGGTTTAAGTAAAAAACAAACAACAAAAACAAAAAAACAACAAAAAAAAAAAAACCTGGTCCTTTACCACTAAATTTTTGAGAAACACTAACATTCCTTTGGATGTGCAAAGGAAGGTCATAACAAAAGTCATATATTTGCAGAAACATTTTAAGAATTCCCTGACTTTGTGAAAATTATCAAAACGTTCCTTGTCTAAGATGTCTTATTTATAATACAGAAATCATTAGGACACCTACCTCATATGATTTCTATGGCTACGGAATAAAATAATCCAGGCCTGTTGTCACCTGAACATACGGCAACCATGAAGAAACAATACATTTCCCTGCCATCCTTGAAACTAGATATGGCGAAGTGACTAAGCACTCAACAATGGTATATGAGCAAAAGTGGTATGTGTAACTTCCAGTTTTGACCCTTACAGGAAATAAAACTAAGACTCTGAGAAGTGCACACAAGAGAGTGAGGGTTCTTGAATTGTACCCATGAGGTAAACACTAGGAAAGCAAAGCAGTAGCATGGAAGGGGCCTGGGCCTCAGAACTGCGTGGAGCTGAGCCATTCTAGCAGCTTGGGCTTTTAACATAAAAAATAAACTTTTAGCTTATCTAGACTCCTGTAATTATGATCCTTTGTCACACTCAACCAAACCAATATTCCAACTGAGACTGCATAGAAAGCACTTGGAACAATACTTTGCATAGTGTATGCATTAAATAATTGATAACTACCGTTATCTATTATTGATCTGGCATTCAAAACTTTCACTTTAAAAGCATTATCTCTGATAATCAATGATGGTTTTCTTCTTGGAATGATACCTAGTATAACTCTGTTAGACCACTGTTTGTTAATAATTTTGAGAATGGTTCTTATGGTTCTCCAGGACCACTTTTTTGAACTTTATAAAATCCCATGTCTTTTATATGATTACTATTTTTATTCAGAAATGATTTGCATTTTACTAATCAGTATATCCACATTGAACATGCTGATTAGAAAAGTATGTGAATTGAAACGGAGTTGACACAATGGTGTAGCATCAGAACAGACATCTGACTGAAGGTATGTTTGAGTGAGTATAGATTTTATAATTAGCAGGTTCATTAATGAATGGTTCCTATAACCACATTTTTTACTAACAGATAAACTTCTATAAAAATAACATTCTTCTAATCAATTATTTGGTTATTCTTAGACACAGTTTGAGAAAAACATAATAAATTTTTTATTCTATTGTTTTATAAGTTTTCAAAATTCGATTTAACAACATGTTCAAGCAAGCTGAAGAGTCTTGTATCTCTGGCTTCTAACTTAACCTAGAATTATCATAACGTAAAACTTGTTTTAATGAGAATTAACCACCAGAGCATATATGATATTTTCAGAACTGATAGGGACACAGGTCTTTCTTGAGCAGGTCTTTCTTCCTTGGTAAAAAAGAATACAGACAGGCTTGCAGCTCAAATTTTTTTAAAAAAAAATTATCATCATAGTGACTCTTTACAATTCCTGATTATTTTTCTCTATGTTGAAAGAATCTAATTTATTCCTATAGTTCTGATGACATCTGTTTCACAGTAGCATTTCCACTCTCTCTCAAAAATGCCTTTATGAGAGGTGGTATTTGAGCCTGGTGGCAACAACTTAACAGTCATTATAGTCCTGTAAAAATGTAAGTTAGCTCCTATCATTTCACATCCCTCCAATGACTTCCTATGCCATTCAAGGGAGAAGCAAAAATTCTTAGAGACCTAGAAGGCCCCCACAATGAGCCTCTGCTCTGTGAATATGAGCCTCTGCTGTTGCTAAGTCACACCACACACACTCCAGCCTTTGAGATTTTGCATTGGTTGTTCCTTCTTTCTTGAATATTGTCTCCCTCCAAGCTACATAAATTATTCTCTCCCTTCTTTGGCTGTCTTGTCACATCTTACCACCTCAGTGATAACTTTTCTGACCATCATCATCATCCAAATTGCAATGTTTCACTCACCCTCACCTGTATTCCTCTTACCCCCAGCCCACTTGATTTTTTTTTTGTAACGCTTATTTATCAACTCATACTAGAAATCTTACTTGTCTATCATTTATTTTTGGTCTCTCTCTACTTGGAGGTGTGCTACTATGGAGCCAGGAACTTGCATGTTTTGTCGCCTGCTGTATCCCCAGCACCTAGACCAACACTGACACATCAAAGATGTTTTATCAGGCTGACTGGAGGCATAAATAAATTGTTCCCACTTCATGAGACTAGCAGCAGCATGACTTTGGCAACCCTATTTGGTTTCTGCATTAAAATAATTAGATATATGACATGATGCCACATAATTAACTCAAAAACAAGACCCCATAGGAAATGTGAGGGGCTAAATATAAGAAAGAAACAGTAGTCCAACTGTAATGTTTGCTTATCTGTCTTTGATTTCAGTTTTATACAGAATTTTACAAATAGAATTTAATTTTTCTTAGCACCTAGATTATGACAGGAAAATAAATGCAAAATAGCGTCAAACAACAAACTCCCATCTAAATAAAGAGTACTTTAGGAAGATTAATTACTGTTAAAAACAAATTAGAATAACTCATCATGTCTCTGACATTCCTGCTTTCGGTAACCTCAAATACTGAAAACAAAGTCTCAGAGTTGAAAGCCCCCCAAAAAAATGTCAGCCGTGAGCTTACAGAAAACTGCTTAGTAAGAAACAGACATTTTTCTCTGTGAATGTGTTCCTCAAAGTGATTACTGTAGAATCTTGAGATATTAATAGATGACAACAAAGAAAGGGTTCTGGTGTCAAGTGTAGGTTTAAACAAGATTTGTCGCTGTAAACCTTCTTAAAGTCTTATAATATATCTTGTAAGAGAATATAAATTTGCCAGAGGAGAAGTGCCATAGGCAGCATTTCCCAATCCATTTTTGACAATGAGCATTACTACCACTACCACCCACCATTTTTTCCCAGAGCCTCTATGGCCAGTATACACTGGAAAACGAAGGACTCTCGAAGTTGAGCCCGTAGACTAAGAATTGTAGGTGAAATTCCACAACTGATTTAGTAAACTTTGGTGGGTTGCGTTTCTTTTTTCTCCTGGGAACCTTAGTTCTTGGAGTACAACAGCTGCATAGACACAAAGGAAGAAAAAGGGAAACCTATATAAAGAAACATAATAGCTGTTGACAAGACAACAGAATGCCTAGCAAGGACAGCAAAATTACTTTGTTTACTTTCTTTAAGGGCAAGGTCAATCCAATGCAATGCACTTCAAAGTTTCCTTAGAACATCATAGCTTGAAGACAAAACATAAATTGTTTATAAATAAAGGTTGCATTACATTTAGAATATGTTGTGTAAAATGGTATAGTAGTTTCCTACGGTTTCCACAACAAAAGTGCTGCAAACTGGGTGGATTAAGACAACAGAAATTTATTCTCTCACAGTTCTAGTAGCTAGAAGTCAAAAACCAAGGCATCAGCAGGGTTTGTTCCTTCTGGAGCCTCTGAGAGAAAATCTTTTTCATGCTTCTATCCTAGCTTCTGAAAATTGGTAGCAATCTTTGGCATTCCTTGACCTGTACATGCATCACTACAATCTGTAGCTTTCTTCACGTGTCACTCTCCTCTGTGTCCAAATTTCCCTGTTCCTACTCATCATTGAATTAGTACTCACTCTAATACAGTATGACCTCATTTTAATTTGAATACATCTGCAAATACCTCATTTCCAAATAAGTCACAGGTTCTGGGTAGACATGAACTTCAGAGGAACACTATTTAACTCAGTACAGAGGTAAAGTGTAAGCCATACATTTTAAAACTATTTCCACCTAAATAATTATCTTTTGTAAATTTTTTAGATAAAGAAGGAATAATACAAAAGCAAGTAAATGCATTTTTTTTTTTTTAGACAGACTCTCACTGTGTTGCCAAGGCTGGAATGCAGTGGCACGATCTCAGCTCACCGCAAGCTCGAACAATTCTCCTGCATCAGCCTCCTGAGTAGCTGAGATTACAGGCACCTGCCACCAGGCCCACCTAATTTTTGTGTTTTTAATAGAGACAGGGTTTTGGCATGTCGGCCAGGCTGGTCTCGAATTCCTGACCTCAGGTGATCCACTTCCCTTGTCCTCCCAAATTGCTGGGATTACAGGTGTGAGCCACCACACCTGTCCAGAAAGCTAATTTTTTCAAAGTGTTTTAGTAAAAGAAGGTATTTGTAACAATGTGAAAAATTATCCCTGAAATTGTTTTAAATGTTGTGATTCCCTTTAAAATATTTCCAAAGGAGACACATGTATGTTAGCTAATACTCAGCAAAAGACAGAAAAAAGAAAAGCTAATCTTGAAACGAAAACATTGTTCTGTCTCTATGGGCGCTCCTTTGAAAAACACTGCATTTTATATTCTACGCAACCTCAGAGACTGGCACCCATACACAATAAAACAAAATCTGATTTTGTCTCACCCACAGTAACAGGGAAAATGCATGTGTCGTAATCTTCACTAGCTCCTCCAACATTTTAAGTGATGTGACTCCTGATGTTCTCACATCTCTTCATTTATCTTTCCCTAAGTTATTAATTCTACTACTAAAGGAAGGGTAAAAAAATATGGGAAGACTTAAATGCTGAGTTAATCCATAAACCCATTTGCTTTAGCAAAGGATAAAGTTGAGTGGTAAAATAAGTGACTTATTAGAG